TTTCTGGACTCCTCATGCTCTCTCTGGCTGCTCCACAGAGTCAGGCTCAGGGAGGGAGGGAGGCAGGGACTGCATCTGATCCAGACCCAGCCGGGAGCTCCCCGGGCCCTTCTGATACACGGGCCCCTGTCCACCGCGGCTGCCTGTCCACATGGCGGCTGCGAAATCCTCTGAGGCCAGACTGTACGCTGCTTCCATGGTGCAGCAGCCTCTGTGTTCATCACCGCTTCACCTGAGCAGGCCCGCCACCCATCCCTAGCCATTAGCAAGTGATTACAAGTTAATGTTGTGGAAAAACGTACAAAAAAAGCCAAGACTCACAATGGAAGGGGCCGGTTTTGGGCTGATTAACGTACTGCGGCGACTGCCTCGTGTTCAGCTCTGTGTCCGATCGGCGAGGCGCTTAATTAGGCTGCAGGGTTTTGGCCTCCGCAGCTCCCCCTCCACCACATGCTGGGTGACGACGACATGGCTGTTCGGGTGTTTTCTGGGCCATTCCAGAAACTGGCCAGAGGGATTTCGGGGTGTGTGGACGGAGACTGGGCCAAAACAGAGTGGAGGCAGCGACGCAGAGTCAGAGAGGGTCAGAGGGGAGCCGCCGGTCGCTACGTCGCTTAGCGCTCCTGCCACTATATTTAGCTTATGGCTGAGCGGGATTACAGCGGCCTGCTTATGAGGTCCAGGGCCTTCGTTACGGACATGGTCGGCCGTCGCAGTAATTTACCGTCTCCCGACAATCCAGCCTCTCCTATGGTGGGGGGGGGGGGGGGCAGCTGGCTAATGAGAGCTTCCCAAAGGTTACACAAACAGAAGGCTGTTGGGGTGAAGCCCAGGAGTGGGGATCGTTTGAAGAACGTTGCACCGGGGGGAGGGGTGAGGGTTGTGGCCCTGCTCTCACATGGATTATAGGATTGTTGGCCCTAATTAAGCGGAGAGAATAAGCCCCGGTCCAGCCGGAGCAGGGAGCCAGACCTGCCCGCTTCCTGTTGAGAATATGACTGCCGTTTGTTTGGGGAGTTAGTTTAAAGCTTCGCGCTCTGTCTCCCACTACCTTGTTATTTTATTCCATCAAGGGTAGGGACTTTATCTCCTGCCTCTCCACATTATGCAGACTAATTAGGCTGTATTATTTAATTTTTGAACAGAGGAAACGAAGGATTTTTTTTCCCCTGAATTCTGACAGTGCGTCAGGCTGCTGGTGTTTGGGTTGGTATCTCAGAAACTCTCAAGCATGAAGATAATTGTGAAGATAATCTACTTCATTCTGCTCGAAAGCTTAAATACATTCCCTCTGCTTAAAGAAAAAGCGGCACACTGCATGCAGAGGTACCAGTGTAGCGATTTAATATTGATCTGGATGCGTCAGTATCAGTGCTGATTGCCTAACGCCGGCGGGGAAGGACAGGTCCTGTGCGGGGGGCTCCGTCATCGGCGTGGTGCTCCAGTGGGCGGCTGCCCACCCAGGACCTGAACGTCACGGTCATTTGGGGGAACCGCTGGGAGGTGCATCTGCCAGACCCTCCAGATGTCAAATCCCGCCCCCCAGCATGAAGCTCCTTGTCCCACCATGGCGTCCCGCCTGGGCTCCTCCTTAGATGTTACCTCACTCCCAAAATGCAGTTCCCCTTTCAGTTACAGATATGCCGTTAGGTATGACCCCTTGCCCCGCTTCTGAAATCCCTTAACGCCCCATTCGGTGCTTCCTCGATTCTAGTGCTGGAGCTGGAACCCAAAACAAAGGGCTGGTTGCTTTTTCCGTGGGGGGGGGGGGGGGGACACACCCAGAGGTGTGACCAGGATGTGGTTTGTTTTCGTGTGTCCGTACCCAGCTTTCGTCTTCCCCTGCGGGCATGCTTAAAACACACTTCCAGAGGAAGCCTGGAAATAGCACAGAAGTAAGGAAATCTCCCCCTCACCCACCCTCCCGCATCCCCGCTGCTTTGAACCGTCAGAGCGTGAGCTCTGTGTCACCCCGCTAGCGGCTGGCCCAGATACGGCTCAAACGCTGTTTATCGTTTAATCACTTATGTATGGCTCTGCCTCGCTAGCGCCCCAGTGAGGTTTGCGGGGATTACAAGAGCTGCATTCCTCACTGCAGTGAAAATCGCACACATTCATCCATCTTCCGGGTCACGGTGAACCTAGAACCTGTCCCAGGGGGTAGTGAGACCGGGAGACACACTGGGCAGGATGCTGCTATGATGGAATATTATGTATGCACATAGCTTAGAGTGCATTTATTACAGTGTTATTTTCTGTTCTTTTTTATTCAACATACAGAATCAAATGTAACCTAGACTTTGAAAAGATTATTATTAAAATGATTATAAATGATTGAGTTTATGCTAAGAGTATATGCAGGGCACCCCGGCACAGAAATTATTGAATGAATTATCCCAGTCATGGAAGCCATCCTCTCGGAGAGTGTGGAGACGGTCCCCCATTGCGATGATCCAGCCCCCTGCCCCCCCCCCCTCCCCACCCACCCACCCTACCGGCCCACTGTGGCCCAATTTCCAGTCCACACGACTGTGTCGGCCTCCAACACTGACTGGCGGAACATGCCTGGGAATACGGATTTGTGTTGAATAAATCCATGCCTCATTTGACTCTTGTTAAATCTGACTGTGGGGAACTGTTTTCCGACTGTAAATGAGGCCTTGGCAGGCGGCCCTGCTGATGGAGTGAAGTTCTCCGAGCAAGACTTCCGCCGGATTCGCGGCCGGCCGGGAGCTGGCCGGTAATTTGGGCCCAGGAACCCCATTGGCTGCGGGCTCTGATTCTGTCAGGGGGGCCGGCCCTATTCTCAGGTTAGGACGGGTGAAGGTCTGTTTTTTGGGGCTAGCTCCTACTATTTTGCCTCCTAAAGGAATGGTCTGTAGCCTGAAGAAACTTGGTGCATCTGGAGGTGGGGGTTTGTGCTTTGAGAGTGTTGCCTAATCCCCTCAGACATCATTAAAACAGCAGTGCTTGTTAGCCTGGCTAATTTTACATCCCGTCTCGATGTACATATCGGTCAGGCAAGACACTTACGTATTAAGTAAAAAATGGATGCAGTACGAATGCTGTCTCCGCCCAGAGCTCTGTGTACCCAGCCATTGTCCTTCACTGATAAAAGTGTAGCATGAGAAACGGTGCTGATGTGGGCCTTGGAGGTTACACCAGGGGCAGGTCCTGGGCCGTGGACATGGAGGCCAAATCTGTGGGTCGAGGATCATCCTGGAAATGCGTTCTTCAGGTTAGCCCTGGGGTCTCTAGTCCAAGTCCGTCCCAGTGCCTTATGCTAGGCAGCGGTTGTGATTCTGAACTATTTAAGTCTGATGCGGAGTGTTGACGAGAGACCGAAATACCACACGGACGTTTTGGCCGGAATTTCAACATGTTTACTGTTCATGTGGGTGATGGTATCATGTCTGCCGTAAAGTGTTTCTGTTTCATTGGGAGATCTGTTCATGTCTTTCTTTTTGTTGAAAGTATTTTTGTGTAGATAATTATTGTTGTTATTCTGAGGGGGCGGAGCCTAAGGAAAGGGCAGCAGTGCCTGTGTAAGACGGTGTGGAGCTGTTGGCTGGTGGAACGGTTGTAGCTGTGATATCTGTGAACAGAACGCAGAACTAGCCTTGCCGTTGGTTCCACGCTACACGCGTGATCGCCTTGCTTACCTCTCGGAAGCTGCAGGTGCATTCTAACACCCCAGCCTAGTTCTCCCTTCAGTAAGAGCATGACCTCCCCTCACGCTGTTTAGAGATGCCCCCCCCTCCTCTTTTAATCTGCTAATGTATAGTGTGAGGGCAGAGAGGCTTGGGGAGGTGACAGGACTGGTCCTGGGCTCCGCAGACTCTGCACCGTAACCGGATTATCAAACGCTGCTTGCTTCGTCAACAAAGTGACACCGAGAGTGTTGCATGTCATCCGGACAGATTTTCCACATCCTTTTTGTCCGCTGCTGTTTGGCCAACACCTTCTGTATAAATTTAATAAACTGATAATCCACTAGTCAGTCTAATCAGCGTATTCCTAAGCTATAACAGGGTTGGGGGATGAATGCAGTCTGATATTTGCCCTTAGAAGTGAAGGTTTTTTTTTTGGAACTCTGGAGAGTGCATATAACTAATTAATGAGAGGCTAATGATTCACTGCTCCTGGAATTACACACTAACAATTAACCATCTGCCGACTGCGGGCCAAGAAGAGCGTCTCTTTGAAAAATGCGACACAAATAGGCTTTGCCGTATAGCTGCTCACTTTGTTTATGCGAATTTGACGTCAGACGTAGCTGAAGTCTGCTCATGGCGATGTAATTAAATAGTTATTTGCTTAATGCAGCAGGAGCTCTGCTGTTTTCTGTAACACACGGCCCCCATTAACTGCTCAGCTGCTTGAATGGGTTTCTCTAAGGGGTTATTGGGGGTTTGGGCCCTTGTAGATGCTGGGAGATGCTGAGGAATGCTGGGAGATATTGAGAGGTAGGGCTTTGCGATATCACATTGGTATTATATCGCACATCATCACAGGGCTGCAGATGATGGTCGAAACCTTTGGCCATACGGAAGCTTTTTGGTACAATACGGACTAAACCTGTGCGACATGACAATATACATCAGATGATGTCGAATGTCTATCATTTCATATTATGCTCTGTTATTAATTTTGTGGTGTCGCAAAATACATTGTTCACTGCAACATTTTTTCATCATTTGGATGGAATGTTACACGTCACCACAAGGGATGTGGCACTTCTTTGTATGTTTGTATTGGACTTTATAATTTATAACCCACAGAAAACAATCCACAAGTATTTAACTATCCACAGATATGAATTTTTAAATATGTGTTGTGTAAAATCATATCCACAAGTTAGTAATCTGTGTAAACTTGGCATATCTTTATGTTGATTATATTCGGTTAGCGGAGCACACCACATAATGCTGTTTTGGTATACTACGGTTTGGTATACTACAGTTTGGTATGCTAGTATGGTATAGTGGCAGTGAAGAAAGGAGCAGCTCAGCAGCCACGAAGAAACAAGGGAAAAAGACGTCGGTGGTGTTGCAGTACTTTTTTACAGTTTTAAATCTGGCGTGTTTATTAAACATAAGGATATGCTCAATTTATACTGATAACTAACTTTTAGGTGTCATAAAATGCCTCATTAATATTTTAGGCACACTACTAATCTGCTTACCAAATTGTGAGTGTAACTTAACGTCCATATAGTATTGAAAAGCTGGTGTTCGGCCAAATGTTTCGCCCATCATCTGAAGCCCTGGTGATTGTTGCACATGTGCGATAAACTATCGATGTGTTACTGACCAGCCCTGCTTAGAGGTGCTGGGAGATGCTGAGGCCACATGGCTGTTCCTGTGAGCTTTGCTCCTCTCACTAACCACTTTAATCTGCTTTTCTTCTTCCAGCATTATCTGTATGTTACCCTTTGCTCTTCCGCATGCTCTGTATTTTTCATCTGATCTGCTCCATCCTTGTCTTCATCCTGTATTCTCTTTGGTCCACCCACTGTCTCCTGTATCTGCTCTGCTCCGCCCCCTCTCCTATATCCACACTTCTCCACCCTGTCTCCAATATCTGCTTTGCTCCGCCCCCTCTCCTATATCCACACTTCTCCACCCTGTCTCCTGTATCTGCTCCGCCCCCCTCTCCTATATCCACACTTCTCCACCCTGTCTCCTGTATCTGCTCCGCCCCCCTCTCCTATATCCACACTTCTCCACCCTGTCTCCTGTATCTGCTCCGCCCCCCTCTCCTATATCC